GCCACCCCCCAGAGACCACCACCACGCAGAGCACCCAGTCAGCTGACGGCTCGGCACGCAGCACCATCACCAAGACTGAGCGTCTCATCCAGTCTAGTACGAGCGGGGGCAGGGGCGGGGGTACAGGGCTCGCTTGCCCAGCACGACCAGTGTGCCGGCCCTTTGGGAGGCCGTGCAGAGTCTTTCCCGGAGCTCTGCCACCACAGCTTCTCTCTGCCACTCTCTCCACTTGTCCTGGGTCTGGCTTGACCATGCTGGGAGCAGAACCGTGGTTCAGGGCTGAGTTTTGCTGCATCTCCTCTGGTTCGCCCAGAGCCTGCCTGGGGATCTTTAAGGGATCTGCTCCGGCGACTTCCCACCTGATCCTCTGCCCCGTCAGGGTGGCAGGGGCCTTGTCTGCACCTTGGGCCTGTGTCCTGTCCCCTACACCTCTGCCCTCCCAGTCCCTGGGTAGCTCAAGCTGAGAGTCACTGCAGAGGTCTGAGAGATGCTCCAGCTCCCCACTCCTTTGCACTGGCCCCTTTGCTCTGCCTGGGGGGCACATGCCATCTGTCCCCCCTCTGCCTGCCCTGGCCATGGCTCTGCCACCTGGGACTTCTCCCTGTTGCGCTACGTGGATGCGAGGGTGCTTGGCAGCAGTGGGTGTCTGTGGGTGCCGCTGCGCCCGGCCCCAGCTGATCCCCCATTGCCTTGCCCCCTCCAGGCGATGGCACCAAGACCTCCCGTACTACAACCATGGAGTCAAGTTACATGAAGAGATCGGACAGTAAGAGCTTTTGCTGCCCTTTCCCCGCGGCATCCTCTGGGTGTAATCTCAGGGGCCAAGAGATCGGACAGTAAGAGCTTTTGCTGCCCTTTCCCCGCGGCATCCTCTGGGTGTAATCCCAGGGGCATTGCAGCTGCTGAGCCATCCCTGCCTGTGGCGTGGGCAGAGCCCCCAGCCTGCCTGGTGCCGCTTCCCTCAGCTCCTGCCCAAGGCCTGTTTCTCTCTCTCTGCAGATGGCAACAGCACATTTGTTCAAACCAAATCATCCTACAGCTCCTCTTCCAAGAAGACGGGCAGGTAAGCGGCGGTGCCTCCCCAGGGCCAGCCCCAAACAGTCCGTGTCAGCCACGTGCTTGCACAAACCCTCTCTGCCCAGCTTGCGGTATCCTCATGCAGGGATGTCCCCAAAGCCTCCTGGTCCTTGGGGCATGCTCGCTGTCTCCAGCGGTCCCCATGGGTCCCTCCATGGGCATGGAGACGTGTCTGCCAGCCAGGGACCTTAAGCCACCCCTGTTCTGTCCCAGGGACATGGAGGTCTCCAAAGCTCCAGGGCTAGCAATGGGCTGAGGCCACCACGTGCCCTTCCATGGGCTGCCTGCAGCCCCCTTAGCTTCATCTGTCTCTCTCCCAGCATCTTCGACCGTGAAGACGAGAGTGCCTCCAGGCAGAGCAGCCTGGCCGCGCTGGAGCGGCGCCAGGCTGAGAAGAAGAAGGAGTTGATGAAAGCTCAGAGCCTGCCCAAGACATCGGCCTCGCAGGCTCGCAAGGCCATGATGGAGAAGCTGCAGAAGGAGGGCGTGAGGTGAGGCTGGGCCAGGGGCAGGCTGGCTGGGGTGGCAAGCGCTGTGTGGATAACACCCCGCGTCTTCTGCTGCAGCTCGCCAAACCCTGCAGTGGCACACACTGCCGTGCAGCGCTCCTCCAGCTTTGGCGTGCCCAATGCCAACAGCATCAAGCAGATGTTGCTAGACTGGTGCAGAGCCAAGACCCGGGGCTATGAGGTGAGTGCCATTTCCTCTCCCCGTCCCCAGGGCTGGTCACTCTGTCCCTTGGTAACTCTCCCTGCCCTCACAGCACGTGGACATCCAGAACTTCTCATCCAGCTGGAGTGATGGCATGGCCTTCTGTGCCTTGGTCCACAACTTCTTCCCCGAGGCATTTGACTACAGCCAGCTAACGCCCCAGAACCGCCGTCACAACTTTGAGGTGGCCTTCTCCTCCGCAGAGTACGTAGCTCTCGTGCCATCACGTGGGCTTGGGGTGGCTCAGGGTGGCTCTCCCGGTCACTGCCCGGGGTGAGGGGGGACATGGACAGGGGTGATGGCGCTGGAGGTGAGCACCTGTCAGCATCGCTCCCCCCCTCCGTGTCGTGCAACAAGGTTTGGACACCGGGGGCGAAAGCAGTGGCTGCGTGGACAGAGCCATGAGTCTGGCGTGGCGAGGGTGGGCGTGGGGGTCTGGGCTTCCTAGGCGTGGGGCAGAGCACCCAAAGGCAGGGCAGCAGCCCCCCAAGCCTACCCGGCTCATCCCATCCCGGGGTGCCGGGTGCGGGACCGCAGCCCCTGGGGAGTGGGGTTTGGCTGTGCCAGGTGCCTCCTTTCATGGTCGTAGGGGCTCAAACACCGTCGCAGCTTCTCCAGTCTCTTCCCTTCCCCTTTTGCTTCTGGTTTTCCTGGGTGCTGAGAGACGGGAGCGCGTCCAGTGAGCTGGGAGCTCCCGTGAGCTCCCTGGGTGCCACGGTGCTGTTCAGTGGAGCGAGAAGGGGAGCCGTGTGCCTGGCTCTTGGCGCTCCTGGTAATGGACTCTGCCTTAATTGGGGAACCGGTGCGTGGACTTGAGAGAGCCATCGATCTCTCCAGCCTGGAAGCCAGGTGGCCTCTCGTCCTTCCTCCTCCTCCAGCTCTTGCGAGCGTCTTCTCCCGAGCTTCCTGCACCAGGGCTGTGCCGCGTGGTTCCAAGCGGAGCTGGGCAGGAGGGCTGGGCTCGCCCCCACCATCCTCCCGGCGGGTCTATATAGGGTCTATATAGAGCGCCGCTCTGCTCTGGAACCCGCTCCCCGAGCACCTGGCGTGCCAGAACACCTCACTCCTCCTCTTCTGCCTCCGTCTGTCCTTCCCTCTGGACCTCACGCCTCTCCACGCTGCTCACCTGCCCTCCCCCTCCCTTGCTTGTGCCCCCCCAAATCTCACTGAATGGCCTTGGCGCGGCGGTGCCCGGAGCCCTCCTGCCCCTGCATCGTGCACAGCCAGAGCATGCGAGAGCAGAGCAGCATCTGCCCGGGGCGGGGGGACGGGAACTGCATTGATCCGTGTCTCTTGTTTTCTCGTCCTCCCCTCCCCGACTGGGCTGCGGTCACTGGCTTGCCCCTCTCTCTCCCTGCCCCCAGGAAGCACGCGGACTGTCCGCAGTTGCTGGACGTGGAGGACATGGTCCGGATGCGCGAGCCGGATTGGAAGTGTGTGTACACATACATTCGGGAAT